CAACAAGTGGTGCCCCGTGTGAGGAACGGTTGGGTCCGTTCCTGATTACGCTTTGGCGACAGTCAGCTGCGTGGCGGACGCAGGACCCTGCGGCAGTGAGGCTGCGGAAGGCTGGAGGGGCTGATCACCCCTGGAGCAGTTTAAGCCCACAGTGGAAGAGCAGTGGAAGGTCACGGAGGGTTTGATCTCCCTGGGCGACAGTGGAATCCATCATTAAGGTATTAGCCCGTGCATGTAAGACTTACTGCAGAAAAACCGCCCCTTGTAAGAAGGAGGTGGCCACGGTCCTCTTTTCTTGAAAAGAAGGGACTTCTCTCTTCTCCTTATGATATTGATGACTCCGGCAAGTGGGACTCTTTAACATTAGTGCTCTCTCAGAGCCCCTCCTGGGCAACGGCCTCATCAGCACAGCCGTAGCCTGCCACCACCGCCTGCACACCCCCATGTACTTCTTCCTGCTCAACCTCGCCCTCCTCGACCTGGGCTGCATCTCCACCACTCTCCCCAAAGCCATGGCCAATGCCCTCTGGGACACCAGGCACATCTCCTACTCAGCATGTGCTGCACAGGTCTTTTTCTTTTTGTTCCTGTTATCAGCAGAATATTTCCTTCTCACCATCATGTCCTATGATCGCTATGTTGCCATCTGCAAGCCCCTGCACTATGAAACCCTTTTAAGCATTAGAGCTTGTGCCACCATGGCAGCAGCTGCCTGGGGCACTGGGGCTCTCTTTGCTCTGCTGCACACTGCCAACACATTTTCTCAATCACTGTGCCAAGGCAATGCTGTGGATCAGTTCTTCTGTGAAATCCCCCAGATCCTTAAGCTCTCCTGTTCGAAACTGGGCCTTGTTATGGAAATTAGGCTTCTTGTGGCTAGTATAGTTCTTTGTTTTGGGTGTTTTGCTTTCATTCTTTTCTCCTATGTGCAGATCTTCAGCGCCGTGCTGAGGATGCCCTCTGAGCAGGGACGGCACAAAGCCTTCTCCACGTGCCTCCCTCACCTGGCTGTGGTTTCCCTGTTTCTCAGCACTGCCATGGTTGCTTACCTCAAGCCCCACTCCATCTCTTCCCCATCCCTGGATTTGGTGGTGTCATTTCTGTACTCAGTGGTACCTCCGGTAATGAACCCCCTTATCTACAGCATGAGGAATAAGGAGCTGAGGAATTCTCTGTGGAAACTAATGGCCAAATGTGCTTTGAAAACAATGAACTGCCCATCTATTTCTATGCGTGACTTGTAATTCAGATTTTGACTTAACCACGCTGTCTTTTTTTTGGTTTATGTATTCATTTGTTAAGTGTTATTTTTTGAATGTTTTGTTTTCTGTTTTATGTATTCTAAACTCTTTCACTGAATCTTCATTATGCCTATCCATTCCTATCCAGCTTGTACCTATGTAGTGTAACCCAGACACACTGTACATGAGGAACCGGGCTCTCTGTGAACCTTATCAAAACAAAGGGCATGCAATGACTTTGTCTGTCTTCTTTCCTGAGAGGCATTTCTGGAGCTGTTGGGTCAGTTGTTCTCACAAACCCATAATCCAGCAGGAAGCACACGGCTGTTAATGCAACTGTGTGGTGACTTCAGCCTGCAATAGCTGATGGGCCATCCCTTGCCTTCTGACTGGGGTCTGTGCATACAGGATCACATCTGCAGTGTCCCTGAGAGGCCGACAGAAAGTGCCAGGTTGACGTGTTGCCTGTGGGATCCTCTGTGCCTGAGCACCTGGTAGGGCCATAGAGCAAGAAGGAGGTTTGTGTGAGGGATTGTGATGGCTCTTCTGTGTGAGTACCAACTGGATAGCAGGAGGGACATGACTTGAAAGTGTCTGTCCATGAAGCTGGCAGGTGCCTTGGAAGATGATGGTGAGGTTCCTTCTTCTCAATGGCACAAGAAAGCTGATGGGTGGCGTTTCCATGAGGAAATGATTTCCAACACGATGGAGTTGGTAGCAGAAATGTGCCAAGGGAGAAAAACGCTCCCTCACAGTGCGGCTTGAAAGCCAGAGACTGGGCATGAGGAGGAAGAAATGTCACTGGAAGTGTTATGATGTGGGACCATGCTGAGGGATCACTCCATGCCTCTGTGTTTCAAGGGCCATTCAGAGAGGCCTAAGAGACATCAGTGAAATGATTGTAGTGCCAGGGTCAGAGCAGGGTGCAGAGGAGAGGTGGGTGTCTGCAGACCACAGGGAAACAGGGGCTGGGCTGGAACAGCATAGGAAAGCCTGCAGAGGAGAAGGCAGTGGGTGCTGGTGACGATGAAAGGCTGCAACATCAGTAAGGTTTTTTGTCCCCTTGCTTATTCTTTGTGAGGAGATTTATTATGCTTATGGTAATGGGGCCTCACTGCTGCCTTGCATCCCTGTGCAGAGGCTGGCAGGTGTCACACTGTTGTCCTTCACATGGAGTGCAATCTGCACCACCACACCAACCCCAGGACGAGCCCTGAGCTCATTCCCTCCGATACGGTGAATCTCCTGTCCAGTGTCTGGATGTCAGGCCTTGGCCCTTCTCCTTCATCAAGCAAACCAAGAGATTTCTCAGCACAATACCTTATGTAAATGTAATCATTGCCTCCAATTACCGGCTCTAACAAGTCCAAGGGAGGCTGTGTTGGTAATGTCCCTTATTGGCCACAGTACTCCAAGATACTTCAACTTGTCAATCCAATTAACTTTCTCCTCTCAGTACCTGAGGTTCATAGACCCAGCATCAAATGTACCATGGGTCTCTCTGTAGTACAGAAATTTGCAATGAGCCATATCTGTTCCATAATGTCCTTGAAGTTGGAGAGGTTTCATAATGTAGTAAAGGAAGGAGATTTCAAATGGATGTTGATCCAGAGAGTCTCCTAAGGAAATCTGCCTAGGCAGAAGCAATTGCTTGAGGTCTCACACAGTACAGACAACCTGACTGCTCACCTCCCCAGGCCTGACGTGTCTGCTGTATGCACCTGGCACTTGCATCACTTTTCCCTACATCAGAATTCTCCACTGGAGTCTGCAGCTGGATGGTACAGTTCCTTTACACCATTCCTTTACCTGCTTTCCTTACAGAACTGTCTGCACGCAGGCACAGGTTGTTGCTTCCTGCTTTAAAACAAACAACAGTAAAGGATGACACAATTTCCCCAACAACAGAACACACTCCTCAGCCATATCTCACCAGTATGGTTCACCTTCCCAAAAGAATAAGTACTTTACATAAGTAGGTAGGAAATGATAAATATTAATAGAAAACAGATACTAACTGAAGGATAAATGATAAGGAGCAAACTCCACTGTGTGATCCCAAGCATCCCATGCTATCTCCAGAGGTCCCAGATGTCCTGTCTTGGACAGGCAGCTTTCCGAGAGGACCTGCAGGAGAGCAGAGCCCTCTGGAAGCTGCAGATAGAATTTGGAATGAGGATCTCAGGGCAGTACTCTGCCAATGTTGTTTTTGTCCCTGCAGTTGCAGCTCAACTCAGCACACTCAATGCTCCCCAGGCAAATCAGTGGATCCCTGGGGGTGACCCAGTGCTGTGATGGCCACTGGCAAGCCAAGAAACTCTGATTTCTTCTCAATGAACACAAACATCCATGAACCATTTTGGGTCATCAGTGTCAAACTCAGCCTGAAAGACTCAAGTACAGGTGGTGAAACCCATCACATTGGCAAAATGTCCCACCAGACTATGGAAGTTAAAAAGGAGCAGTGTGAAATGACCATCAGGTCAGTCCTCAGAGGAAGGGTATGTAAAATTTATCTGCTACAGAGGTGGAGAGCAAAAAGCACTCGATTGTGACTCAAATAACTAAAGTGTGTCCGTGCTGGCCTGACAGCAGCTCCCTGTTCCCTCCAGCTTCCCTCCCCGTGCTCCCTGCAGGACCTGAGCTGGTGGAGCTGCTCTGCAGGGCGAGGGAGCTGTGGTGCCCTGGGACACCGGGCTGACCCTGTGCTGCTCAGGGTGAGAGGCAGTCCCAGCTGGATGGGATCTCTACTGCTGAGTCCCTCTCCATCTGCCCTGCTGGCTCAGCAGCACCACTGCAGAGCCCTCCTTTGCCTGTGGGCTCCTCAGGTTCCCCTGTTTCTTTGGATCAATGGTCTGTCATTGCGCAAGGAATTATTCTTTGCCTTACACTTACACTGTCTCTTACACTGTCCCCGGAGATCCCCTGGCGTTTCCAGGCTGCTCCAGATTCCTCTCCAGGACAGTGTCTGCCATCAGTCCCACAGCAGCAGGGACAGTCCCGCACAGTCATGTTCAAGACCAGTTATGTTTTGGTGGGCCATGTACAACCAAGAAGGGAGCTCTCGTCTGTCCTTTGGTCCTCACTGATCACCCTGGGACTCTGAACCATGCAGAACCCCTGGAAAGCAAGAGGACTTTCCCGAGGGCAACTCCTTGGCTGTATTCCTGGCACAGATTTGGAAGGGGTGTTCAGTCCTCTGGCCTTGCCCTGAGCAGCCCCTTCTTGTTCTGGTCTCAGCAGGGAGGCCAGCTGAGGAGCAGTGCTGCACACTGCCTGCCTGCCTGCAGCCACAGGGATGCCGCCACAGAGACAACAGCGCCGCAGAGCAACAGCGCTGTCATCAATTGCACCAGAACTGAGAGCTGACACAAATGCAAGGACACAAGAGAACAGTTGGGAACATAACGAGTGCAGCACTGAAAAGACCACGTCCTGTTGCTGCCCAAGGCCGTGGCTCCAGGGAAGCCTCAGCATAACTCAAAGGCAGCAGAAAGTCCCTCTAGTCAGTGACGGACATCCCTCAGGGGACACTGCTGCTCCTTGTGCCATTTGTGTCTTAGATCATGAGCTTCTGCTGATGATCCAGACTAGATGGGAGGCAAAACAAATGATCCTCTGCTGATTTCTTTATCTATTCATTGAACCTGGTTCCTTAAGTACAATAGGTTCAAGACAGGGAATTAAAAATAGGTAAACATAAAGACTGATGATGAATATCATTTAATTGGAATTAAGTTCATTATAGCTATGACAAAAAAATAGGAAGAAAAAATGGAAACATCACATAAAATAAATCACACTTTTCCTAACTTTTTTGCAGTCTTGAGGGTATGATGAACATCGTTTTGATGGGCAAACAATGCATAATAGAGTACTTTCCTGAGGGCACCCTTGAGCTCCTGATTCCTCATGCTGTAGATGAGGGGGTTCAGTGTTGGAGGCACCACCGAGTACAGAAATGACACCACCAGGTCCAGGGATGGGGAAGAGATGGAGGGGGGCTTCAGATAGGCAAACATCAGAGTGGTGACAAAGAGGGAGACCACAGCCAAGTGAGGGAGGCACGTGGAGAAGGCTTTGTGCTGTCCCTGCTCAGAGGGCATCCTCAGCACGGCCCTGAAGATCTGCACATAGGACAGCACAATGAATACAAAGCACCCAAATAAGACAAGAACACCAGCCATGATAAGTCCAAATTCCCTAAGGTAGAATTCTGAGCAAGTGAGCTTGAGGATCTGGGGGATTTCACAGAAGAACTGATCCACAGCATTGCCATGGCAGAGAGGCAGTGAAAATGTACTGACAGTGTGCAGCAGGGAATAGAGAAGCCCAGTGCCCCAGGCAGCTGCTGCCATGGTGGCACAAGCTCTGCTGTCCATCAAGGTCCCGTAGTGCAGGGGCTTGCAGATGGCAACGTAGCGGTCATAGCACATGATGATGAGGATGGAATACTCTACACAAAAGAAGAAAAGTAAAAAGAAAACCTGTGCAGCACATGCTGAGTAGGAGATGTGCCTGGTGTCCCAGAGGGCATTGGCCATGGCTTTGGGGAGAGTGGTGGAGATGCAGCCCAGGTCGAGGAGGGCGAGGTTGAGCAGGAAGAAGTACATGGGGGTGTGCAGGCGGTGGTGGCAGGCTACGGCTGTGCTGATGAGGCCGTTGCCCAGGAGGGCAGCCAGGTAGATGCCCAGCAAGAGCCAGAAGTGCAGGAGCTGCAGCTGCCGCGTGTCTGCCAACGCCAGGAGGAGGAACTGGCTGATGGAGCTGCTGTTGGGCATTTTGTTCTTCCAGGCACCAGGACCTGTTCAAGGAGGAAAAAAATCAAGGACAAGTCTTTCTGTGTGGGGAGTGTTCATTCAGCTCCATGAAGTGATTTACATTTCATGAGGTTGAGTTTGCCATGAGGGACTGTGCACTTTTTATCTCCGTGAAGCACACTTGTTCCGGTGGGAACATGGGAACATGGTGATGGTGTGCGGTCAGGCTTTCTTTTCAGAATGTATCAGATAAAGTCACTTCTAATGCAGCAGTGCTGGTTGGCATCTGAACTGTAATGCCAAAAATATGTGGGTCAAAACTAGAAGTTCTAGGGATCGCTTTTTCCCAAAAATTCTCATCCTGCTCACCATGCCTAAGGAGTGCTTGCTGAAGTCTGAACAGCTGTAAGATGTGAGAGGAAAAGGGATTCACTGCTGCTTAGCACAGGGTTGCTTACTAGGTTTCTTTCCAATTGCTCTGAGCTTGCATACTTTGCAGATGTAAGACGATTGCATTCCTATAGAATTCTGAAGTCAGACCCAGCTCAGAAAACAGGAGTGCACAGCCCATCACTGTGCATTCACCCTTTCTCAATGTACTCCAGCACTGACTCATCACCACACATCTTGCAAATGACACCTAACACTGATTTCACCAACCCTATAGCATTTGCATATTGCATGTCTCTGCTTCTTCCCTGTACTTTGTTCTCCTGACCACGGGAAAAATTTTCATCCTGAAGGTCAGCTCACAGCTCTGAAGAGATTTCCTCTTCTCACATCTCCTCAGGGAGATGTGTCCTCATGATGGCATCTCATGAAGGGAAAGCCAGCTCCTTTCCAGCCTCACAGACTGCGTTGCCCACAGCCCCAGGCAGTCGCTCTCAGCCCCTGTGCACTGCAGAGGGTGCTGGACACGTGCCTGGGGAGCTGCTGCTCTGCTCTGCTGGAGCTCTGCCTGCACAGGAGGTGGATCATGCAGCAAATCCCATGGTCATGTGAGCAGAGGTGTTTCTAGGTGGGATCTTGCTCAGAGGAAGGTCTTTTATCTACTGAAGGGGGTAATCCCCTGATCATATCTCTGTGGTCTGCAGATTTTCATCCTGGGGGCTGTTTTCCTCTCATTTCCCTGACTGAGCATACAGACACCAGCCCAAATGCTCTGCATTCCTATTTCGAATTCGAGAACTTCCAGGGTTTGTTGAAAGAATATAAATATGTTAAAGGAAAGTAGAGAGGTAAAATGCACTTCAGGGTTCTCTCTTGATGTGCCGTCAGGGCTGTGCTCTGACGCTGCAGCAGGGAAGCCCTCAGCAGGAACAGCTCTTATTCCAGGATAAAGAAGCACAGAGTGTATGCGGCCTGATCTGCAACCAGATGTGCCAGATTTGGTGACCCCTGTTGGAAAAGTGTTTGCATTACCTACAGTGAGAGACTTACCGTGTCCGTGGCTGAAAGCAATGCTCCTGCAGTGAAGTCGCAGCCTGCTCACATCCCTCACATCCTGTAATCCCTCTCTCCTTTCTCTTCTATCTCTATGCCACCTGCAGAACGTGCCCCTGGCACTGATGCACAGCACACGGGAGCTGCTCCTAGTCAGAGCTGTCTCCCTGCAGCCCTGCCCACTTGTAGGAGCTCCCTGTGTCCCAGGAGCCCAGAACAGCCCAGCAGCAGATGATGTCATTTCTATCTTCCCCACTGATCTCCTCTGAGATGTCCCTGGGTCTCCATGGCCAACAGCTTCTGAAAGACAACAGCATCATGATTGTTCTTTGAAATCTGCTGAATTAACCACCAAAATTCCAGTGAACCTTGAATAATTCCAGACATATGGTTAGTCCTACCAGAGAGTGTTTGCTGTAGCAAATGGGACACATAGGCAAGGACAGGGAGGGCTGGACTTCCCCTAGCAGTGATCCAGCTGAGACAGTTCAGGCATTTCATCCCTAGTTGGAAACCCTATGGCTGAAATGGGATTCAGCTCCCCACAGAGGCACAGGAGTGATGGGATCCTGATGTTGTCAGCCCTTGTTCCCATTTAGTACTTTTTTTGCAGTAACATCTGCTGCAGGGACAGCAGGGCAGGGCATGCACCATCCAGAAGATCCCTGGAGAGCACAGCTGGCAGCTTCTGGACCAAGCCATGGAGGAAGCAAAGAGGAGAGGTGCTCTGGTGCATCTCATAATCACCAGCAAGGAAGGGCTGGTGGGGAATGTGAAGATCAAAGAGAACCTGGGCTGCAGTGGCCATGGGATTGTGGAGCTGAGGAGTGGAGTACAGAGGACAAAGTCACACCTTTGGGCTTCAGGAGAGCACACCTTGACTTCTTCAAGTGTCTGCGGTGTACAGTACAGAAAGAAAGCACGTAGGAAGTGTAAACAAGAAGTGGTCAGCTGGGAGCAATGCAGAGAGGTGTCCTAGTGTGCCTGCTGAGTTGTGTTTAAGAAGGCCAAAGCTCAAACCCAGCTGAATCTGCCCAAGCATATCAAAGATGGTAAAGGCTTGTAGAAATACACACACAGCACAAGGAATGCTAGGGTCAGTGTAGGTACCTGACATGAAGGACATGTAGGGCATGAAGCATCCTGTGCTGTGTGTGACCATCTAAAAAGGTCTGAGGGAAAAAGAGCTCAGTACCAGAGTGTGACTCAGTCATTGCAATGACTGAGAGACTGCAGTTCTGAGCAAAGAAATTCTGAGGGTACCGGGCTCCGTGCAAGACACAAATTGATCTTATTTTAATTATGAAGAATGTGAAAGATGTTCATTAATGTCAGAAAAAATGAAACCATGGTTTGAAGACAAAGATAGAAATCAATGAAAATATGCTAACACACTTCTCAACTGGAAGTATTCTCATGAGTCCTCTCTCTTTTTAGGTTGAAAACACCAGTCTTGGAGGACACTTTGTCTCTATTTACATTTTTATTTCTTCTTAAATGCAATGTTTTCCAGCACTCTGTTTGCAGGACACAGATGCCTTCAGGTACAGGAACAGACAGTGGTGCCAGTGCCAATGCCCTGTGACCAATGCCCAGCATCCACCGCTGCTCCACCCTGCTGCGTATTTGATGTCCCTCATCCTCCAGGTGTCTCCAGCTCTCCTAAATCAATGACCGTGGTTCAGGGCATGTTTTCAGCAGGCCATCTGGACACATGCTCTTCCCACTGCTCTCCAGATTTCCCCATCCCTCGCTCTTTCTTCACTCCGATATCTCCCAACTATCTGCCTGATTTGTGACCTTTAGGAAGATTACTGGAATTTGCTCCATCTCTACAAAATCTGATGGACTCTTTGATCTGCCCCTTAACTGTGATTATGTTTATCCATTCCTATCTCTGCCTAACTCATTTTTTGTACAAATACGCTCTGTGAAAGACAAGCCTCATTAGATGCATCTTGGACAAGGCATGCAGTTGATCACTGTGTTCTACTGTCCATTCAAATGCATCACATTTCCTTCAGTTTGTTGGCAAAAAAAAAAAAAAAAAAAAAAAGAGCAATCTTTCATTGCCCATGTGCAGCTGATTCTCTGAGGAAAGCTGGGGGAAGTTGGTGCAAAGGGTGTTTAAAACTGAGCAGATGACTGCAGAGGAGAAGAGTGATGGTAGGAAAACTAATGCAAGTCCCATGGGGCCAACGGGAGTAGAAATGAGGTGGGGATGTTGAGGAGTAATTTTGTGCACACAGTGACAGAGAAAAGTTCATAAGGGAACATCCTGGATCAATATCAGTTGCCAAGTGCTGATTAAAATCCTTGCTTAAACACAACTATATATAAATAGCAAATGAATGTCGGTTGGATTCTTCCTCATTAAGGTCACTCCAGACACCTCTCCAGTTTGCTGTACAAGTTCTCAACACATAAAAAAAGACAGGAAGGCACAAGGCACAGGAGGCTTCTGTGGGTTGTAATGGGCCCCAGGGGGCATTTGCTGCTCAGTCCATCAACCTCCAGTGCAGAGAGAAGAGAAGATTGCACAAAGTGCTCAAGGAGACAAAGTCAGAAGGAACGGTGAAGTTTCTTGGAGTATTAATGGGCCCCTCTGAGGGCCATTCACAAGCAAGCTTCCCCAGGGACTTGTTAGAGCAGATAATTGGAAGCCACGATTGCAGGCAGACCAAGGCACTGGGATGGTGGCTGTGATGCTGAGAAAAGCCTCCTTTGTCTTGTGAAGCAGAAAGGCCAAGCCCTGATCCCCAGAGCCTTGGCAGGGAGATCCTGTCCCTCATGCTGGCTCAGGGCCCTTCCTGAAAGAGAAGGGGACAGCAGCTCCCAGACTCTGCATGGGGTGCAAGGATGCCGTGAGGCCCAAGTCCCATGTGGGCAGTGTGTCTCATCCAGGATGTGGGATGTGAGAAGGGACCACTCTGAACAAGCAGTCAATCCCAATGAAACTTTGAACTTCAGATCTCTCAGGGCCGAGGTGAAGGCACCACTTCCTCACTGGGAAGTTTGGCTCTGACGATGCCACGTGTGATACTAACCCACATGCAGAGCTCCTTTCACATCCTGCACTTTTTCCACAATAAACCCATGCAGCACTACAGGCTTGGGGATGAGTGGCTGGATGACTGTGAAGAGCAAAGGGACCTGGGGGTGTTGGTTGATGCTTGGCTGAATGTGAGCAGACAGCATGCCCAGGTGGCCGTTAGGGAAAACGGCATCCTGGCCTGCATTAGAAATAGTGTGGCCAGCAGGAGCTGGGAGGACATCACCCCCCTGTACTCAGCACTGGTGAGGTCACACCTCAAGTTCTGTGTTCAGTTTTGGGCCCCTCACTACAAGAAAGACCCTGAAACTTGTCCAGAGAAGGGCAACAAAGCTGGTGAGGGGTCTGGAGCACAGGTCTTATGAGGAGTAGCTGAGAGAGCTGGGATTGTTCAGACTGGAGAAGACGAGGCTCAGGGGAGACCTCCTTGCACTCTCCCACATCCTAAAGGCAGGCTGTGATGAGGAGGGGTTTGGCCTCTTCTGCCAGGCAACAAACAGGACCCGAGGAAGTGGCCACAAGTTGTACCAGAGGAGCTTTAGCTTAGACATAAGGAAGAACTTGTTCTCTCAGAGAGTGGTCAGGCACTGAATGGCTGCTCAGGAGGTTGCGGAGGCTCCGTCCCTGGCAGCGTTCAACAGATGTCAGGACGAGGAGCTGTGAGATCTGGTTTAGTGCTTGTGGTAGTAATGATGATGGGAGGACGGTTGGACTCGATGATCTTACAGGACATTTCTGACCATGCAATGTTATGATTCTGTGATTCTATGATTCTAATCTGAATTGATGCACCATCACTGCACTGCTGCCTGCTGTGACAGAACAGTGGATCTGCCATCACTCTGCTCCTTCCCACTGTGACAGCACAGTGACCCTGACATTATGATGTTCCTTCCCACTGTCACAGAACAACAACTGCAACCCCACTGTGCTCATATCAGCTGTGACAGCACAGTGGAGCTGAAATCACTGAGTTTGTCTCTCCTTTACAGTGCAGTGACTCTGACATCACTGTAATACTGACCACTGCCACAACTCAGTAATTCTGACATCACTGCTCTCCGCATTTCTGATACACCACTGTGGCATTGCTGAACTCCTATCCACTGTGACAGCACAGTGACTTCAACATCACTGTGCTTGTACCTGCTATCATAGAATCCTGGCATATCCCGCAATGGAAGGGACCCATAAGGATCATTAAGTCCAACTTTTGGCTCCACACATCTGCCCTAAAAGCAGACCGTATGACTGAGTGTGTTGCCTTGTCACGGAGTTATCTAGAGCAATCTGTGCCCCTGACAGAGGGCAGCAGGCCTGCAGTCCTACTGGTCAAAAATTAAAGTATGAATGATAATAACAATAACAACAACAATAATAATAACAAATCAGCGGCAACAATCTAAGGAGGAAACGTAATTTTACTAAATATGGTATTGGAATGCAAGATAAAAGATAACACAATATTATAAACTAAAATTGAAATTTAGGGTAATAAATCATATAAAATGAGAGAGCGAGCGTCTGAAACCAAAAGCCTTGCTTTGAACTGCAGGCGCACGGCTGGGGAGCGAAGCCACACACTGCAGGGCAGCGAGCAAGGGAGAGATCCTGGGACTTCCTGCCATGACTGATCTTCCCCTCTGAACTCAGAGTCCTCTGGGTATGCAGTTCTTCTCTCCTGAGAGCCAGGTATCCAGAAAGTTGTCCGTCCACAGACCTGGAGTATTTACTCCTTAATTCCCTGTGCTTTACATGATGTTATGATGTGGAGTACCAATAACAAGGATCGTAAAACCATGACACCAGATGGGGCATTTGCAGCTTTGCTAGGCACACACAGTCTGCTAGGACAAAAAATGCTGCAGGAATCAGTCTGTGTACTGGTGATTAATTCATCTGACTTCAAAGTACGTTGTGCAGAGATGACCCTGTTGTCTATCAGGAGCTGCCAATGCAGAGACCTAAGGACATCCCCAGGGAGAGCAGTGAGGAAGAGAAAATGACATCTTCTGCTGGAGAGCTGGGCCGGGCTGCTGGGACACAGGGAGCTCATAAAAGTGGGCAGTGCTGCAGAGAGACGGCTGTGCCCAGGAGCAGCTCTTCTACACAGCACAGCCTGCAGGTGACAGGAGGAGAGCAGAGAAAGGAGAGAGAGCTTGTAGGATGTGTATGGTGTGAGCAGGCTGTGAGCTCACTGGAGGAGCATCGCTGACAGCCTCTGACAAGGTCAGTCTCACTGCAGGCTATGACTCTGCCGCCTGCCAGGCTCGGTGCTCAGCCTGCCTGGGGAGCTGCCCAGGGCGCTGCGGGGAGATGTGTGGGGGGAAGGAGCCCCTCGGCAGGGCAGGGCAGGGCAGGGCAGGGCAGGAGCCTTCTGCTGCTGGGGGCATGGGGATCACAGCTTCAGCGCTCCCAGAGTGTCTCCAAGGGCACTTTGCAAGAGGAGAGACAAGGCAGGGATTTTCCCATACCTGTCCTTAGGGAAGGAGAATGAGTTGGAGGCAGAGATCTGAAAGGAGATGTGAAATATGAACACAGCTATAAGAGTCCTGAACTGTACGTTTCTCAGTCTGCAGTTACATGCACAAACTCCTCATGTGCTTTCAGCCCCTCTTCTCCCAAAGGATTGCACCAGCTGAAATTTCCATGCTTCTCTGCAGACATGAATAATGCACTTGTCCAGCAAACAGGCAGCTTTCTCTAGTAGAAATTCAAGTGCACAGAGGTAGGAATGGGCACTCTGAGTGCAGACAGACAAAAGATACGAGGAATGGAAATATGTCATAGGAAGAAAGTATCCAGGAGGCTGGGATATGATTAGGCAATGAGAGGAAAGCAAGAGCTCCTTCATCTTTGACTTCTCAAGGGATGGTGAAGCTCATGTAAATTCAAGTTATGGAGTTAAATGAACCCTGTCCTAAGAGAAAGAAACACTGTTATAGTATAGGGGTGGAGTGTCTCTGAAAAAGCTCTTGACTCGTCATTATCTTCTGCACTCTGCACAGGACTCCAGGCCCAGCAGGAACTGCAGATGCCCAACAGCAGCTCCATCAGCCAGTTCCTCCTCCTGGCGTTGGCAGACACGCGGCAGCTGCAGCTCCTGCACTTCTGGCTCTTGCTGGGCATCTACCTGGCTGCCCTCCTGGGCAACGGCCTCATCAGCACAGCCGTAGCCTGCCACCACCGCCTGCACACCCCCATGTACTTCTTCCTGCTCAACCTCGCCCTCCTCGACCTGGGCTGCATCTCCACCACTCTCCCCAAAGCCATGGCCAATGCCCTCTGGGACACCAGGCACATCTCCTATGCTGGATGTGTTGCACAGACCTTTCTGTTTGTCTTTCTGATGTCAGCAGAGTATTCCATCCTCACCATCATGTCCTATGACCGCTATGTTGCCATCTGCAAGCCCCTGCACTACGGGACCTTGATGGACAGCAGAGCTTGTGCCACCATGGCAGCAGCTGCCTGGGGCACTGGGCTTCTCCATGCTCTGCTGCACACTATCAGTACATTTTCTCAGCCACTGTGCCGAGGCAATGCTGTGGATCAGTTCTTCTGTGAAATCCCCCACATCCTCAAGCTCTCCTGCTCTGAATCAGACTACCTCAGGGAAATTGGTTTCATTGTGCTTAGTGTTCTTGCCGTATTTGTGTGTTTTGTTTTCATTGTTGTGTCCTATGTGCAGATCTTCAGGGCTGTGCTGAGGATGCCTTCTGAGCAGGGACGACACAAAGCCTTCTCCACGTGCCTCCCTCACCTGGCTGTGCTCTCCCTGTTAGTCAGCACTGACTTTTTGGCCTACATGAAGCCCCCATCCATCTCCTCCCCATCCCTGGATCTGGTGGTTACATTTCTGTACTCGGTGGTGCCTCCAACACTAAACCCCCTCATCTACAGCATGAGGAACCAGGAGCTCAAGGATGCAGTGAGGAAAATGTCATGGACAAATTTCAGCAGGGATCGTCTTCTCATCTGCCTGAACAAATGACTCAGTTTTTTCTGAAACATGTCTATGTTGTCTTAGAAATATTGAATGGCCTGTACTGAAAAGGACTATAAAGATCATCTAGTTTCAACCCCACTGTTACAGGCAGGGTCACCAACCACCAGAGCAGGCTGCCCAGAGCCTCTCATTTCCAGCCTGGCCTTGAAAGCCTCCAGGGATGGGGCATCCACAACTTATGTGGGCAACCTGTCCCAGGGCTTTACTACCCTCTGGGTGAAAAACCTCCTTTTAATATCTAGCCTAAACCTCCCCAGCCTCAGTTTAAAACTGCTCCCCCTTGTTCTATCACCAGCCACTGTGCTAAACAGCCATTCCCCCTCCTCTTTATACATTCCCTTGAAGTACTGGAAGGCCACAATGAAGTTTCCTCAGAATCTTCTCTTCCACAAACTAAGCAAGTCCAGTTCCCTCAACTTTTCTTCCTAGCAGAGCTGCTCCAGCCTTCTGATCATCTTAGTGCCCTCCTCTGGACCCACTCCAACAGGGGAAGCTGGGGGGCCCACAGGCAAATGAGGGCTCTGCAGTGGTGCTGCTGAGCTAGCAGGACAGATGGAGAGGGACTCAGCAGTAGAGAGAGTCTGACAGTGATGACCCAAAATGGTTCATGGATGTTTGTGTTCACTGAGAAGAAATCAGAGTTTCTTGGCTTCCCAGTGGCCATTTCAGCACTGGGTCACCCCCAGGAATCCAGTGACTTGTCTGGGGTCATTGAGTGTGCTGGGTTGGGCTGCAGCTGCAGGGACAAAAACAACATTGGCAGTGTACTGCCCTGAGACCTTCTTCCCAAGTTCCATCTGCAGCTTCCAGAGGGCTCTGCTCTCCTGCAGGTCCTCTTGGAAAGCTGCCTGTCCCAGACACGATCTCTGGGGCCCTTGGAGATGGCATGGGATGCTTGTGATCACACAGTGGAGCTTTGCTCCTTTTCCTTTTTTCCCATTAATAATTATCATTTCCTGTCTACTGATGTAAAGTACTTGTCCTAGTGGGAAGGTGAACCACACTGGTGGGATATGGCTGAGGAGTGTGTTCTCTTCTTAGGCAAATTGTATTGTGCTTTACTGTTGTTTGTTTTAAAGCAGGAAGCAACATCCTGTGCCTGTGTGCAGACAGTTCTCTTAGGGAAGCAGGTAAAGGAATGGTGTAAAGGAACTGTACCATCCAGCTGCAGACTCCAGTGGAGAATTCTGGTGTAGGGAAAAGTGATGCAAGGGCCAGGTGGCATACAGCAGACACGTCAGGCCTGGGGAGGTGAGCAGTCAGGTTGTCTGTACTGTGTCAGACCTCAAGCAATTGCTTCTCCTGCCTATGCAGATCTCCTTAGGAGACACCCTCAATCAACATCAGTTGGACAATGGTGCTCCAAAAGCAACAAGATGCACCTTGTAAAATCAGAAAACATTTTTCTTGGGTGCCCTTTGAAATCTTCTTTCTTTCCTATAGGAACCATGGAGTGAAGTGTGAGTAAACTCAGAATCAAGTGTGAGGCAATCCCGGAGTAAAGTGTGGGTAGGCCTGAAGAGAGAGTGCACACACCCAGGGTAGGGTGCCAGTAAAGCCCAGAGAAAAGTGTGAGTAAACCAGGAGCAAAGTGTGAGTAATGTTGAAGAAAAGTTTGAGGAATCCTTGAGTAAAATGTGAGTGGAACACAGTCAAAACAGAAGTATGAGTAAACCCAGAGTACAGTGTTCATAAACCCAGAGTAAAGTGTGAGTAAAAGCCAGAGTAAAGTGTGAATCTGCCCAGAGTAGAGTAAGACTAAACTCAGAGTGAAGAGTGTGCATGTCTGGTGCAAAATGTGAGTAAAACCTGGAGAAAATTGTGAATAAACTAGGAGTCCAATGTGAGTAAACTTGGAGTCAAGTGTGAGAAACTCCCAGAGCAAAGTGTGGGTTGGTCCAGAGCAAAGTGTTGGTAAATGTGGAGTAAAGTTTGAGGAAAACCCACAGTAAGGTGTGAGTCTACCCGTATTAAAGTGTGGATAGGCCCGGATGACAGAGTGTTCACACCAGGAATAGGGTGTCTGTAAAACCTTGAGATTAATGTGAGTAAGCCCTGTGTAAAGTGTGTGTAAGGTTGAAGAGCAATTTGAGTAAACCTTGATTAAAGTGTGATTGAAACACACTCAAAAATGAAGTTGTGAGTAAAGCCGAAGTAAAGAGTTAGTAAACGTGGAGTAAAGTATGAGTAAAATTGAGTTAGGTTCGAGTGCACCCAGAATTGCATAAGCATAACTCAGAGTAAAGAGTGTGCAAACCTGGTGTAGAGTCATTTTTGTGACTCAACATTGCCATCTGCAAACCCCTGCACTACGGGACCTTGATGGACAGCAGAGCTTGTGCCAGCATGGCAGCAGCTGCCTGGGGCACTGGGCTTCTCTATTCCCTCCTGCACACTGCCAACACATTTTCTCTGCCTCTCTGCCAAGGCAATGCTGTGGATCAATTCTTCTGTGAAATCCCTCAGATCCTCAAACTCTCCTGCTCAAAATCCTACCTCAGGGAAGTTGGGCTTCTTGTCTTGTACTGTCCTTGTCTTATCTGGATGTTTTGTTTTCATCGTGCTGTCCTATGTGCAGATCTTCAGGGCCGTGCTGAGGATGCCCTCTAAACAGGGATGGCACAAAGCCTTCTCCACGTGCCTTCCTCACCTGGCCGTTGTCTCCCTCTTTGTCAGTACTGCCATGGTTGCCTATCTGAAGCTCCCCTCCATCTCCTCCCCTTTCCTGGACCTGGTGGTGTCATTTCTGTACTCGGTGGTGCCTCCAGCAGTGAACCCCTTCTTCTATGGCATGAGGAACCAGGAGATCAAGACTGCAGTGAGCAATACATACTTCTTCAGCATCCGCAAGATGCATGCCAGCCTAAGATGAGTCTCACAGTAATTCAGAAATTGATAGAACAATCTCTTGTTTCTATTTTTCTTATTATTATTATTTTCACAGACATGACTTCAATTTAAATCCGTTATTCTTGGCATGTTTCATTTTTGTAGTGTTTTGACACTCTCATCTCATGTACCCATAGAACAAGGAGCTCTGTTGATAAGTACAATAAGGAAGCCAGCAGAAATTCAGTTGTCTGTGCTCCCATGTTTTACCACCTCTGAAACTGGAGGAGCGACTCATGTAGGCAGGAGTGGTGCAGGGTCCAGGAGCCCAGCTGCAACACAGAGCAGCAGCCTCACTGTCATTGGGCTGCCCCTTAATGCCCAGTGGTTCCATCCTCTCTTTTGTGTTTGAGTCATGGCCGCAGCTTCCCAGCTCCAATGGCCACAGAGAGCAGCACGATGTGGTCTTTGCAGTGCTGCTCTCTTCTCACTTCCATCCCTCTTCCCCTTCCTCTCTACATCCTTGTGGACACACGTGGACCAGGAAGGTGGCTCTGGACTTTTGCCACCCTCAGCCTCTCACACCAGCCATTTCCAGCACTGACTGCATGTTTATGGCAGAGCTTTTTCCTGAAGCTGTCTCCATGCTCCTGGTGGTAAAGCAGGGCTGTCTGCAGACCCCTGTGTAGGACACGGCTGGAGCAGCACTGGGTCTGAAAAGCAGGATTGCTGAGAAGTGCCACTGAGGGCTGCCATGGGCACTTGTGCTGGGGAACTCTTCCCCACCCCGAACACACCTGTCCTGTGCAGTGCAGTCATTGCAGAGCCGTGCCTGGGACAGTGCACTGATAGGCCACAGATGGGAAACCCAGCACGGCCATCAGGAGGTGGAACCAGGTGGTCCTGGCACACAGGGAGCCGGGCAGGAGGCAGCGGTGTGCCCTGGCAGAGCAGTCAGGGAAGGCTGAGGGCACATCACTGCAGCCTGTGAGAGCCTGCATGGAGATCTTAGAGAATACAGAGCCACACTCCGTGCTGTTGTGCACAGTGGGGGGATGAAAGTGATGGGTGAATCTGGAGGCACTCTGCCTGAAGGTAAGGAAAAGATTTTCCACTCAATTCAAGGCTCCTCTTGAGCAAGGTGGCTACTGTCATGTCCCTACTAGGATGAGTGCTTATGGGATGTGTTTCCTGTTCCAAATTGCCGCCTGCTGGACAAGCAGCCTCCTGAGACAAACAAGTCCACACCATCAGCATCACAACTTGTGCCTTCCAAGCTCTGCTTGCTAAGAAACATAGAATCACAAAGGTTGGAACCTTTACTGTCATCTCCATCACTTTCACTCCGCGGACTGTCAGAGCTCAGGTGGGATATGTTGCTTTCAAGCCCTGTAGTGTTTGTACATAAAGCCTGAGACAAAGTGTGCTGAAATCAGACCCTACTGTGCAGAAAAAAATAATAATAATAATAAATAAAGCATGAAGAAAAGATGATGTAAAGCAGTAGCTTTACAGCTGAGAAGTCTGTGTTGGTTTAACAAGTGAGGGCCTCCACACTCCTGAGAAAAGGATCTACTACTGCCTAGATTCTTTTGCTGTTTTGTGCTGTCACTGGCAGAGGTCTTGCAAAGTCAGTCTGCATAGGACTTCCCTATCTTGATGCTGGACAGAGGCTTTTATTCCAGAGTTATCTGCATTGGGCATCGCAGAAGAAAGGCAGTTCCTGCACCAGCAATTGTATGTTTCTTCATATAAGGTCACAACTCATGGTTCTGTTCTGTGCTCGGAGTGATTTGTCTTCACTCTTGAATGCTGTGATTTAATTTTCCTTCAGTGAGTATGAGTCACAAATGAATGCTTATTCCTTTTTGCCTCTACAGCTCAATAAATCTTATTTTTCCCTTACTCTGCAGATCGACCTGATGAGTCTTTTGGCTTTATTTGCTGCATTTTCCTTAGCTAGACAAGAACATTATGGTCTAGTGGGATGAGCTGATGGGTTCCATCCCAGCCTCTTGAAGCGACCTGCTCTTGAGTCTTACAGCCTGTGTTTGCAAGAGATGATTCAAGGTTTTCAACGCTCTCACATGAGCTTCTTACTGCACAATCAAATATAGGCAAGGCCACACAGGTGGAACCAAGTGGGCACCACCTGCAGGCTGCCCTGCTCCACGGAGCTGCTGAGGCTGTCCCGGGGCCAAGGAATCTGAGCATCCCAGCACAGCCATGAAGGCCACATCAGACACGCAGCACAGTAAGGCACTACTCTGACTTCTCTGTGTGCAGTGCTATTCTGGTCAAGGTCACTGCTCAGGATGTTCTTGAACAAGGCTTCAATTATGCAGGCTTTGACTGCCCCCACAAATAGGGCATATATAATTTCTTAGTGACTCCAATTCCAGTGAGTCCAACT